CCCCCCCCCCGAGGCGCCCCCCCACCCCCAATATCCCCTAATTTTCAACCATTAAATTTCTTTAATTTCTTCGCACCCCATTCATTACGCGTTTGGTAGTAATTAAATCCCTTAACTCTTGGAGAAGATTTTATATACTTAGAAATAGTAGAAAAGTATAGTTTACTCATAGTTACCCTTATCTAGACACTACTAGAAAATTTAGTAAGTATATACTACTACTCTACTAAATAGTTAAATACTTAATACTATATAAGAAAGTAAGCTTATAAAGTATATTAAAGAGCTTTATAGGCAAGGATTACCTCCTATATAGACTATTATTTAAAATTTTATAACTAAAATAATAGGGAATCTAGTAGGTAAAAATTAGGTATAGCGCTTTATTAACTACTATAATATTAATCTTATCTCCTATTAGGCTACTAGGCTTAATTATAACTACTTTAAAGCTAATTCTACCTTTAAGTATAGTTTATACTTTAAGCTTTGATGCTGAAATAGTAAAGTAATATAATGTTGAGAGTTTGTATATCTTTATTATAGTTAAGGAGGTTGTTCTTGTGGTGGTGGTGGTGATAATAGAGGTAGTGGAGGTGGTGGTGGTGATGGAGGTGGTGGAGGTGGTGGTGGTGATAGAGGTGGTAAAGGTGGTGAAGAAGATTAAAGAAAGGAGGGGTAAAATACTTAGATAGTTAGTAGGAAACTAGTAGATTAATAGAAGTAGAAGTAAAAGTAGAATACATAGTATAGTAAACCCTATTTAGGTTTACTTCTTCTACCTAAACCACTTCTTAGTCTACTTTAGATAAATATAGCTACTATAAACCAGTTTTATACTGTAGTAAAGGAGAACTATGTTTTTAAGCATTTACTAACGATAAGCAGATGCCCCTACTATGCAAAAGACGGTGAAAGAAATATACAAAGTCTTTAATAAGCTTAATAAAACTAGACAATCCTGGAATGTATACATCTACATGCTGAAACTTGGATCACAAGCTATGGCGAAGTTGATGCTAGGTCTCGACGTGAAGCATTTTAAACACGTTAACTTAGGGGTACACGAGCTTGTGCACCTAATCGCGGAAACTCTATCGTTAAATAAGAAAGCTACTTTATAGGGTAGTTGGTACGCGAAATTACCTTTTAGTGACCCCCAAACTCTCAGGTTAAAGCAGCAACGCATGTCAGAGATTGTCATATAGCAAGTACGACAAACCGAGATTGGAGGTACCGAGGATCTCCCGCTGCAAGAGGCTGCACTGAAAGCCTCAAACCTAGTTGGTACGTTCAGAGTATGTTCACAGACCAAAGCTATACGCTAATGCTTAGTCTCTGTAGATTATGCTGTCCGCGCAACAGATAACAAGGGGGAGAAGCTTCCCTTTGAACAATTAACGTCAGCTGTAGTAGTCGCCACGGGGGCCGGATTTACGACTACCTCTTCGCTTCTCTCATGGCTGATCTACAGCTTGGTCACCTATGCAATATCCGACGATAAGGAGGGCCCAAATGCAGTGTGTAATGTGATCATATTGTCCTAGTCTAGGAGGATGGGAGCTATCTATGGGCAAGCACCGCCAAGAGGCTAAGCCCGTCACACGTGACCCAGGCGTTTATAACACAGTATCTGCCCCCTTCTATAAGGTAAACGTCCTTATAAGAAAATCCTTAGATAGTAACTAGTCTAACTACTGCGACACTCTTAAAACCCTTTACTAGGCTCCCCTATAGTAGTAGTAGCAGTAGACTTATACCTATCTTGTTTATTATTATCCTTTAGGTACAAATCTATAGTAGCTTAAATAGCTATTTATAAGGTAGTAGAATGCTTAGTAGTAATAGTCTTATAGTAGACACCTATTAGGGCTTAAGAGGGATTATATAGGCTTTTTCTAATATTATATCTATAGATATTAAGGGCTTTACACACTATAAGGTATTAAGTAAAACTATTTTATTATAATAAATTAACTTTTATAATATAATATCCTAAAGCTCCCTATTTATAGAATAAACGCTTAAGGTAGTTAATTAGAAGCGTAGGCTTGTGGTGATATTGTATATTAGTGCTACAATTACTAGCAAGGTCTTAGCTTAGGTTCCTATAACTAGTATCTAAGGTTATTTCTAGAAGAATTCCTCTATATATCTAGTAGTATTAAAGATTACAAACTAATAATCCTTACCTATTAAGGAGTTAATAGTAAGGACTAGGACTGCTTAAAGACACTTAGCAAGGATAGTCTTTCCTACGCAGTAGGCTTCCTTAGTAGCTTTATTAATTATTACTAGTAGTAGGTAGTTATATGCATTATATAGGGATAATACTAATACCTATTCTACTAGTACCTCTTAGAGTTATTAAGTAAGATTATATAGAGTAATAATCGCTGTATCTATATAGTACTATAATCTAGAGGTATCTTAGACTAGTGTTATATCTATAGCATTAACTACTACTAGTGCGTTATTAATTCCCTATATCTAGGTGTTAATATAGCACGCCTCCTTCTTACGCTTAGGGTTAAATAATCCTAGTATAGCGCTTACCTCTATTATATTATTTAATTAGAGCGCTAATATAAGTAATATCTAGTTAGTAAACCTAGATATTTAACTTAATACTTAGATTAGGAAGCCTATACTACTTAGTTAGTATAAGGTAGAGGTGCTAATCTGCAATTAAAATAGATTGTCTAGCTACAGTCTAAAAGGTTAAGGTCCTAGCTAGTGCTAGTCTCCTATAAAGACGTGTATTTCTAAGTCCTAATAGTTGCTTATAAAACTAGCTATCTTAAGGTCTCTAGCCTAGCTACTTTCTTCTAGGTAAACTATATAAGCCTGTTAGATAATCTAAAATCTATATATATTTATAACTAAGGCAGTGTAATATACTACTACTACTGTGCCGTGGTAAGGGATGTATGGGAGGAAAACAAGGCTTAGCCTAAAAGGTTAGGCGGATTGAATAGTATAAAGGTATAAAGGATCAGAGGATAGGATAACAACAACTCCTAGGGACTTTACTTAAATTTTACTATATTATCTTTTCACTTATGTTTCTGCATTAAACCTATTTTCTCTACTATAGGATCACTACTATTAAACCTTGCCCCTCCCGCTTCTCCTCGTTTAAATAGGTTACTCTCCCTGTTAGTTTAAATAGCGAAGCCTAAGGGGAACTTATCTTATCTTAGTAAAGGGGAGGGCCTAGCAGCATATAACTAAGAGGACGTTTCTCTAAGTATAAGGAGGGCAGAGAAAAATTAAAAAATAGGTAGTGTTAATAATTAACATTGTTAAGGCCAAAATAGTAGGCCTATATTAGGACGTGGCTAACGCGCGTTAGTAGGAACAGAGTAATAACACTAAGAGGCTAACTAGAAAATACTAGAATAACCAGAATAACTAGAACTAGAATGACCAGAACGACTAGAATAACTAGAACTAGAACGACTAGAATAACCAGAACTAGAACGACTAGAATAGCCAGAACTAGAACAACTAGAACTAGAACAACTAGAACTATTAGAATAATTAGAACTACAAGAAGCATTAGTAATACTAGAAGTGCTAGAACACCTAGAACATTACTACTAATAGAAAAGCTACAGCAAAGGCCACAGGATAGTGTGCGCTGTTAGCAGGAAAATAGGGCTAGGCTAAAGTTGCTAACGCAACAAGAATCCACTAAAAACAAATTCTATAAAAGTAAGAGATAGGAAAGGGGGGAAGTAACACAAGCAAGCAGATACTAACTCGTCTAACAATTTTAATTAACATTACTAGTTTATACACCTCCTTTAACGTTTATAGAAGCCTACTACCTTAACTAAGCCTATCCTTTTTGCTAGGAACAATACCTAGAGAAAGCAATATTACCCTAGGGTTAACTAAAATAGAAACCTCTAGACCCCTAAGAAGAGTCCTTGTCCCTATAAGGCCTGGGAAAACTAACTTTTAGTTCTAGGGGAGGGAGGTTCTAGAGTTCCTAGATAACTATAACTGCTAGGCAGAAAATAGGGGGCTAGATAAAGTAGATTAGCTAAAAATTCTGCTAGACTTTTATAATACTATATACAGAACATTTATAAAGAAGCTTAGACCCTACTAGAAGCAAGACTAGGAGGAGCTGCAGGAAGCTATAAAGGAGCACTAGAGGGACTAGGATATAGCCTAAAGGATAGGTACCTAAACCTTCCTAGATACGTATATATAAGAAGCCTCTAGGAACTTCCTAGGTCTCTTAGACTACTATACTAATTTTGTAGTATATAGCAATACCTGCCTAGTATCTAAATAGCTACACAAAAGTAAGGTTAGGTTCTTCTTCTTTAGAGGGTTACCCTAGGTAGATAAAGAGCTAGTCTTGCTTAGTATACTAGGAGGGCCTAATAGTAATAAGGTAGCAAGCTATAAGCTAGAGAAGATCTATGCCTACGTTAAAAGAATCTATTAGCAAAGAGAAGGAATAAAATATATATTAGCTAGCTAAATAGAGGAAGATGCTTAGTAGGCATATTAGATATTAGAATTAGCAAAAGCCACGCCTATAAAGGAGGATATTATAGAGGCAGCGAAAGGCGTTAGAAAGGAGCAAGCTACTACCTAACTACTACTAAACGTTAACCTAGAAATAGACTAGTTAATTAGGGCACTAGGAAAAATAAAGATAAGTTTAGCTAAGGCTAATAGGCTACAGGAATACTATATAATAGGCCTGCTGCTAAAAAGCCTAGCAAACTAGCTCTACTTTATTTCCTATACAACTAACGCTAGGATAGAGCAAGGGATGTATTAGAATACTATAGTAATTAGGGGGTTACTAATAAACTAGCTAAGAACCTAGGGCCCTATATAAACTTTAACTACTTAGCTAGGGCTATAGAGTTACAGGGGGTATAACAAGAAACTACCTACCTGTAATATGTGTAGATTAGAAACCTACCTAGTAAGGGACTGCCCCCCCTAGCTAGAACTTATAGCGCTAGGGTAGGTAAGCACTTCCTAGAATCTAGAAATAAGGACTAGGACATTTTACTATAGACTATTATATAAAAGACTAGGGCAGGTTACTAAGCTAGCACTATAGAACCTTACTCTTTATTAGATAAAGAAAAAGTTGCGTAAATACTATAAAGTTACTAAGGATATCCTTAGCTAGCTAGCGTTATAGGTTAAGCTAGAACTATTTAATAGAATAGATTTAAGAGGTTAGTAGTAGAGGCAGACTTAGGGACTAGACTATCTAGCGGCAAAAAGAGCGGGAGCTAACGCAATATCTTCCTAGAATTAAGGATTAGAATAAGGAGATACTTAAAAAGAATATAAGCAGTTCTTAAACTATTAAATACTATAAACTAGCAAGGAAGACCTAGTAGTAATAACGCTAGATTATATAGACTTAAGACATATTATCCTAGGATTAGTAGACAAGAATATACCTAGGATCCACGCCTCTATAAGGGAGAAAGAAAAGCAAAGGGACTAAGTCTTAGAGGAAGTAAGGACAGGATTAATCTAGAAGCGCAGGTAAGGAAGACTAACATAAAACCTAGTAAACTAAGAAGAGGAGGCAAGTAAGGAGATAGAACTTAAAGAGACCCTAGAGATTCTATACCTAGCTTAGGCCTATACAGACCCCTTCGCGATAATCTAACTACTAGATAATATAGGTAAAGGCTATGCGAATTTAGGGCCTAACTAGGACCTACTAGTAACAAGAAGAAAAGTACAGTTTAAAGAAGTAAAGAATAAGGAGCTTAAGGGAATAATGCGCCTAAGCCTAAACTAAATAGTAGCTACTTTTCTTAGATAGGAAGTCTAGGGAATTGTAGTAGCTAACCTACTAGGGCAAGATTATCTATAGGAACAAATCAAGACGTTATTATAAGAACCCTAGACTTAAGTCCTGCTAGATAATAACTTTAGTAGGGTAAACATAGTAGAGCTAGGGGGCCTAGAAAGTGCGCTAGTCCTAAATAGGTATCTAAAGGGTGCGCTAATTTCACCCTTTAGATGTGTTAACTAATTAGAGGAGCTAGAGGTAAAGAACCCTGCGCTAGGTTAGCGCAATATGCTCGTAATGCTAAAAGTACTTAACGCCTAAGTAAGGCTTTAATTTAGACAAAACTTAGATAGGTATAGAAAAGATTTAGTTATATAAGAAGAAAAAGACAAGTCTTGCGCTAACTAGGAATTAAATTAGACAACTCTTTACGTAGAACTACTAACCTGCTAGACTAGTATAAGGGGGAACACAGTAAACTACCTAATTAATATAGGGGTATAAATAAATCTCTTAAGGTTAAGTGCTACGCGGGCGTTATAGGTACCTATTAAGACACTAACCTAGACCCTAGGGTATACGCAGGGGGTAGTTACAGCTAATAGCAGGATAGACCTATTTATTAGAACCACGTGGAATATGCTAGTACGCATAGGGGAGGTAGAGACCCTAACTTATTTTAGGGTAATCACAAACCTAACCTGCTTAGCTATATTAGGGGGGCTATAGTGTACCTCTACTAGGCTAGCTATTTAGTATAATATCTACAGGAGGGTTACCTACTAGGTGCTATCCTTAGATAGGGAAAGGAATGCAGTCTTTATAGCCTTAGATCTAAAGCTAGAAGATAGAGATAAAATAGAAGAGAAAGACAAGTTAGAAAACTAACAGCAGGACCCTTACTTAGGAAAGAGATCCTGCAAAATTAATACCTAGGAGATAAATA